GATGTCTTTCGGATTAAAGAATACTGGGGCAACATATCAGAGAGCTATGGTGACCTTGTTCCACGACATGATGCACAAAGAGATCGAGGTTTATGTCGACGACATGATTGTCAAGGCACAGACCGGAATGAACATGTCAAGAATCTGAGAAAGCTCTTCCAGAGATTGAGGAAATTCCGGTTACGACTGAACCCTAGCAAATGTACCTTTGGGGTGACATCCAGGAAGCTATTAGGCTTTGTAGTCAGCAGAAAAGGCATTGAGGTTGATCCTGATAAAGTTAAGGCTATCCAGAGTCTACCTCTACCACGAACATAAAAGGAGGTCCGAGGTTTTTTAGGAAGATTGAATTACATAGCTCGGTTTATATCTCAGTTAACCGACAAGTGTGATCCAATCTTTCGCCTCCTCCGAAAAAACAGCCTGGAGCATGGGATGAAAACTGTCAGATTGTATTCGAGAAGGTAAAAGAGTACTTATCTCACACTCCTATCCTTGTCCCCTATCCAGGAAAACCTCTGTTCTTGTATCTCTCCATATTCGAGAACTCCATGGGGTGTCCTGGGTCAACATGACGAGTCCGGGAAGAAGGAAAGAGCCATCTATTATTAAGCAAGAAGTTCACCGATGGCGAGGTTCGATATCCTCCTTGAGAAGGTTTGTTGTGCTCTGGTCTGTGCTACAAAAAGAATCCGGCAATACATGTTGATCACACTACTTGGCTGATTTCCAAGTTAGATCCATTAAAATACATGGTGTACCTGCTCTATCCGGAAGGTTAGCCCGATGGCAGATGCTTTTTTCTGAATTCGACATCGAATATGTGAGCCAAAAAGCGGTAAAAGGCAGTGCCATATCCGATTTTTTGGCAAGTAGAACTGGTGAGAGCTATGAGCCGCTGGACTTTGATTTCCCAGATGAAGACTTGATGGCCATATCTTTAGAAGAAGCAGAGACTTCAACAGACATCTCCTGGAGAATGCATTTCGATGGAGCATCAAATGCATTAGGACACGGCATCGGGGCAATCCTGATCTCTCCGGAAGGGAGTCATTACCCATTTACCAGCAACTTTGATTGCACCAATAACATGGCAGAATATGAAGCATGTGTCTTGGGAATTTGGGCTGCATTGGGGAAAATATAAAGACTTTGCGGGTGTATGGTGACTCAGTCTTAGTAATCTATCAACTCCGAGGAGAGTGGGAAACTAAGGATATAAAACTGTTAGAATACCGGAGACTAGTGTTGGATCTGCTCGAAGAGTTCGACGAAGTCACCTTCCACTACGTGCCTAGAGAGAAAGTCGACTGCGCTTTAGCTACCTTGGCAGCCACATTCAAGGCTGGTGGGGAGTCTGAAATGATGCCAATTAACATGCAGTCGTATGAGTACCCAGCTCATTGTTACCAAATTGAAGAAGTGAAAGACACTAAGCCTTGGTACTACGACATTCTGCAGTATATCAAGCATCGGAGTTATCCAGAAAAAACCACTGAAACTGAGAAGAGAACCCTTAGAAGGTTGGCAGCTGGATACGTCCTTGACGGAGAGGTTTTATACAAGAAGAGCCATAATCAAGTCCTGTTGAGGTGCGTCGATGCTGAAGAGGCAAAAATGATAGTGGAAGAAGTACATGATGGAGTTTGTGGAGCAAATGCAAATGGACATATGATGTCAAGACAAATAATGAGATGCGGATATTTTTGATTCACAATGGAAAGCGATTGCATCAACTATGCTAGAAGATGTCATAAATGTCAGATTTAGGGAGACAAGATAAATGTTCCACCCCATCCGCTTCACGTAATGACGTCACCATGGCCTTTCTCTGCGTGGGGCATGGACGTTATCGGGCAAATCCATCCGAAGGCTTCGAATGGTCACCGTTTCATTCTCATGGCAATTGACTATTTCACGACGAAGGATATTGGACTCTAGACAACGCAAGTTCAACTTCACGACGAAGGGACCGCTGCTTGTCAACAACAACTTCCCAATCTCAGAGCCAATTTCAACTTCACAACGAAGGATATTGGACTCAAGACAGCACAAGTTCAACTTCACGACGAAGGGACCGCTGGTTGTCAATAAGCAATCTCCCAATTTCAGAGCCAATTTCAACTTCACAGCGAATGATATTGGACTCAAGGCAGCACAAGTTCAACTTCACGACGAAGGGACCGCTGGTTGTCAATAAACAATTTCCCAGTTTCAGAGCCAACTTCAACTTCACAGCGGATGATATTGGACTCGGAACAATACTTGGATTTCAACTTCCCGACGAAGGGTATCCAATTCTCAGGTTCAACTTCACGACGAAGGGGCCATATACATATATAATTTCACAATGAAGGAGTTATCTGTGACACATCAACTTCACGACGAGGATATCGTGCTCAGAAGCGTCCAGTTCAACTCGACATCACAACGAGGGGCAGCTGAAGACACTCAATTTCGACCACATAAATTAAATTATAATGTGTATATGATATTATAATATTATAATACACATGGCATTTACATTTATGAGTTGTTTATATATACGTATATCACATGACATACATATCATATTATTACAATATACCACATTTATTTATTTGGGTTTACATGATACATGCCCAATGAGCTGTAACCAAACGCTTTGATCCAACAGTGGCCCAGCACAGTAGCCCGCGTAGAGAATTAGGGTTTCACCCTATCTTATGCTTCCAGCCGCCGCTCAATGACCGTTGGATCTAGGTGAGATCCAACGGTCCACAGCAGACCCATATAGGGTTTCATCTTGTTCCAGACCTAGCCCGTTCTAGCGCCGTTTTTGACATCGTATGTCCCAGTCAAACTCCCCACGCCTCACGCCTCTGGCCACGCACACGACTGTCACCGGATTTCACAACAACCACCAACAACACGCAAGGATCTCGCACAGTCAACAAGCAAATATTATAGTCCTATTAGGATTTAAATAGGTCCAAAAATAGTACAAATCGAAGCTATAAATAAATGTAATCGAACCCATTTGTAAGGGGGTATTTTCATACTGAATACAAGCAAAGTTACTAGCAAATCACATCCAAATACTCAGAGCATTCGAAATTTCTTTCCTCTGCAAAATTCAAGAAAAGTTAAAGGTAAGGAACTCACCTTTGTGCGATTTTCAGGCTTGCATGTCAACTTTGTACTTCCTTATCTTTGTTTTGGTTCGAAAAACATCAAATAAAATGATTTCTGGCCGATGAACCGAGGCACATTCGAGATCTTTTCATAGATCTAACCTCCGAGGCCGATTTTCTAAGAAACAAACTCTGTTTTCGGAACAAGGGGGTGAACATCTTCGGAAAAAAGGAAACTTTTTGTTTTTGCCACCGATGAACGGCGGCGGCGGGCGGCGGGGGGGTGGCTGATGGCCTTTTTCTGGAAATAAGGGTTGGTGTTCTTCGTTTCTGAAGAACACTAAGAGGAAATGTTTGAAACGGGGGGAGCTCTCGGTCTCAAGGAGAGAAATGAAAATTTTAAAACACTTTTTTGCTTAAATACGCGCCCGTGGAGCCAACTGACCGACCCGTTGCATCATATCCGCGTGTTTTCACGCAAAATTGGGAAATCCATTTTGGTCCCATCCGTTTTAAAAACTTCTAATTTGATCCCTAAAACTCGATTTAAACCCCATTTGCTTGCGAATTCGGCCTTCTGTTTGATTTCCTTTCAATTTAACCCTCCGTATTATTATTACTTCTTATATATATATACATATATTTTACTATATTATTATATATATTTATTTATACGTTTACATATATGATATTTCATATTTCATTATTCTCTTTATTTTTTCCCTCTACTTTTTATTATTATTTATTTATTTTCGTTATTTCGTTTGTCTATATTATTAAAAATTTCTCTCGTATTTAGCTATTATACATACATATAGTATTTATTATATGTTTTCATTAATTTTATTATTTGACTTTATTTAGTATACACTATTATTTTACATTTTTTTTATTTCAACATTTGAATATATATATATATATATATATATATATATTATTAATTCTATCATTTTATATTTTTATTTTGCTTTCCTCATTTATATTTATTTATTTTCCGTTTTATGGTACCTTATCTTTCTTATTTCTTTATTTGTTTTTCTACTTTATCATATGTTTCATACTTGTCTTTATTTTACTTCCTTCATGTTCTATGCTCCATGTTGATTATGTTATTTATCGTGTATCATTTATTTTTATTTTGTTCTTCATTTTCTTTATTTTTAATTTAATTTATTTCCATCACCTTTTCTAATACATCTTTGACTCTTAAAGGGCTCATTTTAAATCAATTAGTGGTAAGTTTTCGGATCGTTATTTTACCTTTAAATTTAAACTTACAATTTTCTTAATTAAGACAACTGGAAATTATAGTACCGAAAGGGCTTCAAGGGTGCTAACCCTTCATTGACTGTAACCGACTCCCGAATCCGACACGTTCTGGTAAGACGCATATCATGTAAGAAATAAGGTATCCGATCAACCCATTTGTTTTAAAATAATGATCGGTGGCGACTCCAATCCACATTTTTTAAGTCGAAACCCAATTCCGGGCCAACCAAAGACGGTTCTGACACTAGTAATGGTTTGAAGCTTCATCATGAATCATAATCTGAATTGATTTCTTTTTATTAATCTGGAGAGATAAGATCGTATTTATTCGAAATATTCTCAACTTTAATATGAATACTTAAGTATCTCATATGTTGTGATCGAATCCGAAACCTTTAGAATAACAATAATCTTTTTAACCATTAAGATTATTAATTCGTGCTAAACTTGAATTGAATAAATGATGGGAAGGGGATGGAACTGAAGAAACATAATGACATAGATAATAGATATATACCATGGGAAAAATATTATGTTAACGATGACAGATGACAAATTTTGTTCTTTTTTTCTTCTAAGTGAAGCTTTCCCATGATATATACATTCACAAGAAAACAAATGAGCCTTAGACTTTGTGAACAGAAAGATGAGTAGACGATTTTGAGACCAATGGGTAGCTTAGGAGAGGAAGACTTGGCTCAAATGGTAAAGATTTCATTGAATCAGAAACACCCACTTCTGTTTCACCCACTAATTCAAAACCCCGTTCTCTCGATCATCAACCCAGTTTGCAGGTTAGTAATTCCTTAGCAGTATAAAGTTTAAACATAAGTTGTTGTTTATTTGTTTTCTGATTCTGATCAACTTTTTTTCCCCAGGAAATTCTTAAACACACGAATGAAGAGGCTAACATACAAGAAAAGGTATTAATGTATTTGAAAGATATGAGAAGTGCAGGGCATCAGAATCAGACGAATAATTTGAAGAAGTTGATAGTGACGAAATTGAGAAATGATGGCTTTGAAGCATCTCTTTGCAAAACTTCATGGCTCTGCACTTCAACCCATTACAAAGGTCTCTTTTTTTTCTCTCTCTCTTTTTCAGTAATCCTTACATGAATACATACTGAAATGTTTCTTGGGTTTCAAAGTGTTCCGGTTTCCAGGTGCGTACGAGTATATTGATGTAATGGTGGTGGAAAATGGTAGACACAAAAGGGTCATAGTGGATATTGACTTCAGGCCTCAGTTTGAATTAGCAAGGCCGACCGTACGGTACAAAGAGATGATAAGCAATACTCCATTGATCTTCGTTGGTTCCGAAGAGAAGCTTAAACAGATCATCCCTTTACTTTGCTCGGCTGCCAAAACACTCAAAGAGAATGGTCTCCATGTTCCTCCGTGGAGAAAACATGCTTACATGCACTCCAAATGGCTCTCCAAAAACTGCAAAAAAGTTTCAGCCTCTCCACAAGACATTGATTCGGTGATGAGGGTGATCATCATCTTCATCACATAACTGAAAAAACTAGTGCTGCTACATGCTTCCCTCTCCAAAAATTCCAATTTTGTTTGAAGCCCTAAATAAGAGAGTTAGAGAGATAAGTGAATATACGATGATTATAGGGTATATCTGTTTTTTGCGTAATTGTTTAAATTCGAATTTTTAGAGAAAATAATATTTTATCATGAGACCAGTAAATGATTTCGATGACATATTTGTTGGATCATAAACTTGATCCATTATGGGAGCCTAAATCCAAACCCAACTAAATTGATGTCATTACTTACATCATTTAATTAAAGATGTCATTGCTTACATCATTTAATTAATGATGTCATTGCTTGCATCAATTTAGTTAGGTGAGAGTTAGATATTTGTTGAATTTGTAATGGTTTAAATTAGTTTATTTGTGTAGTGTAGGATTGTTCTTGAGTAGTATAAATACCCCTTCCCATTTTAGTTTTAAGTATCAAGAAAAATTAAGAGCTTCTAAGTGAGTGAAGAAGCAAAGTCTTATAAGAGTTGTAGTTCTTGTTTTTGAGTGAGAGTACTCTTGTAATATTTGTTTGAGTTTTAATAAAAGTTGTTTGTATGAGTGTTTTATTTCCAATAAAGTGGCATCAGAGCGAGTTGGAAAGATCGAAGGTCTCGACGAGAGGAATCTGACACCGCCAGAATTTTCTCAATCTGAGTTCTGACGCACCGCCACGCACCGCCGGAAGACTGTTGCTAGAAAATCGAGTTGACTCACCGAGTTGAGCCGAGTCAGCCGAGTTGGAGCCCTTGACCGAGTTGTCCAAGTCCCTCCCAAGGTTTTTTCGGCGTTCCAGATTCATTCGTGCAATCGGATTTTACAAAATCTCATTATATTGAGAGATATGGCAAATGGTATGGCACCATTCCAAGTTCCGACACTTAACAACAACAACTACGACAATTGGAATATCAAAATGAAGGCACTTCTTGGATCACAAGATGTGTGGGATATCATAGAGAAAGACTATAACGAGATTATGGATGATGATGTTTTTGTTACTCTTACACCAGATCAAAAGACAACTTTGAAGGATTCAAAAAGAGACAAGAAGGCTCTCTACCTCATCTACCAAGCGTTAGATGATGATGGTTTTGAAAAGATTTCAAGTGCAAGCTCTAGCAAGGAAGCATGGGAGAAGCTGCAAACCTCTTACAAAGGATCCGAGCAAGTGAAGAAGGTTCATCTCCAAACATTAAGAGGTGAATTCGAATCCTTACACATGAAAGCATCTGAGTCTATTTCAGATTATTTCTCAAGAGTAGTAGTTGTTTCTAATCAATTAAAAAGAAATGGTGAAAAGTTAGAAGATGTGAGGATAATAGAGAAGATACTTCGTTCGTTGGATCCCAAATTTGAACACATCGTCGTGACGATTGAAGAAACTAAAGACTTGGAAGAAATGAAGATCGAGCAGCTCCATCATTGCAAGCATACGAAGAAGCATAAAAAAGCATAAGTTTACTGAGCAACTCCTCAAGCTACAACTCAAGGATATGCATGAGAGCCAACGCAATGATAGAAACCAACGTGGCCAAGGTAGAGGTAGAGGCCATGGAGGTGGAAGTCGAGGTCGTGGACGAGGCTGGAATTACAACAATAACAATTCCAACAACAACTATGAGAAAGGAGAAAGCTCAACACGAGGCCGTGGAAGAATTAATCCAAACTCAAAGTATGACAAATCTCAAATTCGATGTTATAATTGTCAAAATTTGGGCATTATGCTTCAGAATGTAGAGCTCCCAACAAAAAATTGAGGAGAAGGCCAATTACGTGGAGGAAAAGACAGATGGCAAAGAAACTCTTCTTCTAGCACGAAAGGAAACTGATGGCAAATTCCTGGTATCTTGACAGTGGTGCAAGCAATCACATGTGGAAGGAAAGACATGTTTGTGGAGCTAGACGATTCAGTAAGCGGAAATGTTTCGTTTGGAGATGATTCCACAATAACAGTGAAAGGGAGAGGTAACATTCTTATCCGTTTGAAAGATGGGAGACATCAATTTATTTCAAATGTCTACTATGTGCCCAATATGAAAAGTAACATTTTAAGTTTAGGGCAACTGGTAGAGAAAGGTTATGATATTCATATGAATAATTATAATCTTTCTATAAAATGATAAGAATAACTTCATTGCTAAAGTGCCGATGTCAAAGAATGAATGTTCTTGATCAACATACAAAATGATGTTGCAAAGTGCCTGAAAGCTTGCTACAAATGAATCATGGCTTTGGCATCTTCGATTTGGGCATCTAATTTTGGAGGTCTAGAGCTATTATCTAAGAAGGAGATGGTGAAAGGACTACCTCACATCAACCATCCTGACCAACTCTGTGAAGGGTGTCTAGTCGGGAAAAAATTCAGGAAAAGCTTTCCAAAGGAGTCAGAGACAAGAGCTAAGAAGCCACTTGAGCTCATCCATACCGATGTGTGTGGACCGATCAAGACAAGCTCTCTCGGTAACAATAACTATTTTCTTCTCTTCATTGATGATTTTTCAAGAAAAACCTGGGTATATTTCTTGAAACAGAAGTCAGAAGTTTTTGAAGTCTTCAAGAAGTTCAAAGCAGCAGTGGAGAGAGAAAGCGGTAGAAAGATCAAAGCCATGAGATCCGATCGAGGTGGAGAATTTACTTCCAGGGAGTTTCAAGAGTTCTGTGAAGCAAATGGAATTCGTCGACCAATGACAGTTCCTAGATCCCCCCAGCAAAATGGTATGGCAGAAAGAAAGAACAGAACAATCCTCGACATGGCACGAAGCATGCTTAAAAGCAAGAAACTACCCAAGGAATTTTGGGCGGAGGCAGTAGCGTGTGCAATCTACTTGACAAACCGATCTCCAACAAGAAGTGTATGGGGAAAGACACCGCAAGAAGCATGGAGTGGAAGAAAGCCTGGAATTTCTCACTTGAGAACCTTTGGAAGTATAGCCCATGTTCACGTACCAGACGAGAGAAGAACGAAGCTTGATGATAAAAGCGAGAGTTTTATCTTCATCGGCTATGATGCTAATTCGAAGGGCTACAAGTTGTACAATCCAGACAATAAGAAGTTTGTGATTAGTCGAGATGTTGTCTTCAACGAAGAAGGAGAATGGGATTTTAACTCTCATACAGATGACTTCAATTTATTTCCTCAGTTTGAAGAAGATGAGCAGACAATGAGGGAACAACTAGATGAATCTCAACAAGAGCTTGCAACTCCACCCACTTCACCAACATCAACCACTCAAGGAGACTCATCACCTTCATCATCGTCAAGTGGGAGTCAAAGTGAAAGAGTTGTGCAACGCACAAGAAGCCTTAGAGATCTCTATGAGGTAACTGAACGACAAGATAATCTTACATTATTTTGTTTGTTTACCGATTGTGAACCAGTGAGCTTTCAAGAAGCGGTACAAGAAAAGAAATGGAGAGATGCGATGAACGAAGAAATCAAGGCCATCGAGAAGAATGACACATGGGAACTTACCTCACTTCCCAAGGGACATAAGGCGATAGGTGTCAAATGGGTGTACAAAACAAAGCAAAATGCCAAAGGAGAGATTGAAAGGCACAAGGCGAGGCTAGTTGCTAAAGGCTATAGTCAAAAGGCTGGAATTGACTATGATGAGGTATTTGCTCCTGTTGCTCGATTGGAGACTATCAGACTAATCATTTCTTTGGCAGCTCAAAACAAGTGGAAGATACAACAGATGGATGTAAAGTCCGCCTTCCTAAATGGAGTTCTTGAAGAGGAACTTTACATTCAGCAACCATCAGGCTATGAAGTCAAAGGGCATGAAGACAAGGTGTTGAAGTTGAAGAAGGCTCTTTACGGGCTAAAACAAGCACCAAGGGCATGGAATAGCCGAATTGACAAGTACTTCCAAGAGAATGGCTTTAACAAATGTCCCTACGAGCATGCTCTATATCAAGATCAAAGATGAAGATATTTTGATCGTGTGCCTCTACGTGGACGATCTTCACTGGAAGCAACCCAAGCATGTTTAATGAATTCAAGGATGTGATGATGAAGAATTCGAGATGACAGACATGGGGCTCATGGCGTACTACCTTGGCATTGAAGTTAAGAAACAAAATGATGGAATTTTCATTTCACAGGAAAGCTATGTAAAGGAGATACTGAAGAAGTTCAAGATGGAGAACTGTAAGCCAATAAGCACACCAGCAGAATACGGGATCAAGATGACCAAACATGAAGAAGGCGAAAGTGTAGATCCAACATTCTTCAAAAGTTTGGTAGGAAGTCTACGCTATCTAACTTGATACCCGATATTCTTCACGCAGTTGGATTGGTTAGTCGCTACATGGAATCCCCAACAACCACCCATTTTAAAGCCTCAAAGAGAATTCTTCGCTATCTGAAAGGTACAATTGACTTTGGATTGTTCTATTCAGTTTCTAATGATTACAAGCTTGTTGGATATAGCGACAGTGATTGGGGTGGAGACATAGATAATCGAAGGAGCACTACTGGATTCGTATTTTTCATGGGAGATATTGCATTCACATGGATGTCAAAGAAACAACCAATTGTCACATTGTCCACTTGTGAAGCGGAATATGTTGCTGCTACCTCATGTGTTTGTCATGCAATTTGGCTTAGAAATCTATTGAAGGAGATTGGTTTGATACAAGAAGAGCCTACCAAGGTTTGTGTCGACAACAAGTCAGCCATTGCCTTAGCGAAGAATCCAGTATTCCATGATCGAAGCAAGCACATTGATATTTGCTACCACTATATAAGGGAGTGTGTTGCAAGAAAAGATGTGGAAGTTAAATACGTGAAGTCACAAGATCAAGTTGCTGATATTTTTACCAAGCCACTGACCAGCGAAGACTTCTTAAGATTAAGGAACCTACTAGGGGTCACGAGATCAAGTTTAAGGGAGGGTGTTGGATCATAAACTTGATCCATTATGGGAGCCTAAACCCAAACCCAAACTAAATTGATGTCATTACTTAATCATTTAATTAAAGATGTCATTGCTTACATCATTTAATTAATGATGTCATTGCTTACATCAATTTAGTTAGGTGAGAGTTAGATATTTGTTGAATTTGTAATGGTTTAAATTAGTTTATTTGTGTGGTGTAGGATTGTTCTTGAGTAGTATAAATACCCCTTCCCATTTTAGTTTTAAGTATCAAGAAAAATTAAGAGCTTCTAAGTGAGTGAAGAAGCAAAGTCTTATAAGAGTGAGTTGTAGTTCTTGTTTTTTAGTGAGAGTACTCTTGTAATATTTGTTTGAGTTTCAATAAAAGTTGTTTGTGTGAGTGTTTTATTTCCAACAATATTAATATTATATCCTCTCGAAAATGTTTATTAATATTATAGTTGAGCCCCGAATGAAGTTTTGTTTGTATTTTTTTATAAGTACTGTTTTGTTTTTATTTTCAATTGAACTAAAAGATGAATTCTTTAGTTTATAACTTTCGCGTTATAATTTGATTACCGGCTGATAAGAACGCCAACATAGAGATGACTTGGGTAATTTAGTATACACGTTTCTTCATGTTTTGCTTTAACTAATCTTGGAAGTAAAAGAAACAGCACTCGTATATACAAGTAAAATATTAATATTTGATTTATTAATCGATATTTGATTTATTAATCGATTAATTTATATAAACATTATAAATATTTATTATAGAATATTTTTCTAATTGAGTTTGCTTCATTCAGGACATCAGGATTTCAATCGTTATTTAAAAGTTTAATGCATCATTTAATTAAATCAATTGATAATAAGTGGATGATGTTTTTTTAATGAAATGGATATGCCTAGTATTCTAATTGAACGAAATGTTTAAATATGTGCTTTTGTTCAATAAATTAGGAACAAATGTCCCAGCGACTATTATTGTATTATTGTTTACTCTCTTTTCTTCACCCCACAAGCAAACTTTCCATTCCCAAGGGAGAGTTGGATAATTAAAAAGGAAAATGCAGAATTGATGATGAAGTTGACAAATGAATTAAAGATAAAATAAGTATAATTGTTATAATAAGAAGAATAAGAATAAAAAAATCTTTTTATAAGATATTCTTGAGTTTCAAGTAATTAAAACATTGGGAAAGACAAGGATATAACATAGTCAACCAACCCAACACTTTGAAGTTCTTTATGTTTATGATTGCATCCAAATAACTTCTTGTTGATCAATTCAACTATATATTAAAATTATCCAGGGGTCATTAGTTCCTAATTTATAAAATTAAAATTTGAGATAAAAATTAATATCTAATTAGTTGAACCAATTATGATACTTTTATATCATCAACGACTGGAACTCAATCATTAATTATGTAATTTACTATCTTACCTCCCCTTACCCCATTACATATGGGAACAAGGGACATCCATTTTTTCTTTCCATGGCCAACATCTTTTTCCACGTCTTTCAATTATCGCCAAGCTTCGAAATTATCTTGGTTTGATTTGCATTTTTCACCATCTAATCGTCATGGAACCGATGTATAATATTTTTCTCCTCGTTCTTGATCTCTCTCGAAATCAACAAAACTTAAATCAAAGCCTCGATATATCTTGGTTGGATATATCTCTATCTTCTAATTATCATCGAACCAAGATAGAATTCTTCTCTAATTCTTCTTGACTTCTCCATCATTCATATTTGAAAGAAAATATTTTGACACTGGTAAATCAAAAGAACTTTAAAAAAACTAGGTTTGAGAGAAAAGTTCGATGGGTTTTTTTGCATAAATTTGTTCAAAAAAAATTAATTTGTGTTAGACATTTAACCGTTGAGTGACTAAAAAATAAATTTTAAAAGCTAGATGATAAAATTGAAAATTTTAAAAGCTATGTGACTAAAATAGAAACACAATAAAAATAAGTGAGTAATGTGTTTATCCAACGAAAACTATAGGATTGAAGTTGTTCTCAGAGCAAAGAAATGAATTGTATCTCAAATCAGTGAGAAACTAACTTGGTAGAGATTAATCTTTGTTTTTACTCGTATCAAGTAATAAGGAATAAGGTTCAGGCATATACACACTGTAAGCATATAAATCGTGTTCGTATTATCATTTCTCTTCAATATGTCCGCGTACATATATTATTGTCTCTCGCCTGCATCATAATTTTTTTTTCATTTGATTGAATCTTCCCATATTTTATCCAAATTTTAGTTAAAGTTTATTTTGAATTTTAAATTTAAAACTCGTGCAAATTATGGGGAATCTGTTTCTATGTTGAGCAACCTATATGAAAGAGTGCTGTGCATGTTTGAATTGATATGGGTTGTACAATTTATGCCTATGGGGAATATTGCTTGAGAGTTTGGATTTTCATATGGCTTCAGCAGAAAACAAGGAAAGTTTAAGAGTGTTTTTCAATGCAAATAAAACCCATTGGTCCATTGTTTGCAAACTTAGAATGAGAGGCAAGTCATTTGAAACTTGTTACCAATCCTAATTGCCAAACAAGTTACACAACTCTCACTACAAAAAGCCTCCCATTTTCCAAACCCAATTCATATCAACTCCCATAGCATCATCTTCTGACATTGCAATGGCCTCATCAACTAACGCTCTATTGTTTCCTCAAGAGAGAAGAAAGTTGAAGAAACAGAGCTTGTTCATGTCGATGAACATCTGAAAGTGAAGGAGGCCATTGTCCCTGGTCCCCATGGGCCGCACGCTGTGATTCTAGGAGTAGAGGATGATGTTCATGTTACTGAAGACATCGCAAAGACCGAGAAAGTCGAACGAGGTTCGAGATTGAGGGAAAATCCTAAGGACCTTGAGGCAGGAGGAGCGGGTTCTGATCATCACCACCAGCTGAAACACAAGGCCTAGTCTTCCTGTCTATTATAACAATGTTGTATTCATTTTATTTTACATATTTATTAAATTAACAAAAACACCAATACTGTGGTGCAATTAAGCTCATGTTCTCCTCTTTCTTTGTTATTTATTGAATTGTTTTTTAATATTTTTATATATGTTTAAACTATTTTTATAGGTATTTAATTTATAAAAAAAGTACTCTTAATTACTTGTACCTTCTTTCTATTATCCAATCACTTAATTCCCAAAAGATATGTTTATTGATGATCGAAGTTTGGAAAACCTCAGAAGTAGAAATTTATTTCATTGACAAACCAAGTTATTACAACATAACTTATTTATCTCGCACAATATAAAACTCTATGTAGTTAGAGTTTTATATTGACAAGAGCACTCTTGATAACTGGGAAAGTAAACACAAAATATCACACGGTACAATACAAGATAGATTTCTGATCCACGTAAGCAGCAGCAGCAGCAGCAGCCCTAGTTTCTTAAGCATCCAAATGAATCATGCATCTCAGACCTATGCCCTTCAGCATGTAGTCAAATGCCTTGTTGATGTCCGCGAAAGGCACAGTGAGTGATGAACTTGTCCATATCCAGCCCCAGCTCCTGCAACAACATCATCATCAAGCAACTAAAGAAGCACTTATTTACCTGAAATAAGGTACAAGTAAAATCTCATCACCTTGTTCAAATTTTGTCGACAACCATGGGGATATCAGTGCGGGGTTTGTAGTTTCCGTAGAAAGCACCCTTGAGGGTCCTCTCACTCAGTAGATTCATTGGATGGGTCTTGAATGCGTCATCTTTCTTCGGCACACCAACAAGTACACAGACACCCCAACCCTGAAATCAAAGAAGCATTTGTATGTATGTATGTATGTGTGTATCAATTTTGAGCTAAAAGTGACTATTAATGCGAACAGATAATTACATGGACGCATTCGAAAGCCGAAATCATGGCATCGACGCTCCCAGTACACTCGACACTGCGATCCACGCCTCCGCCGGTCATCTCAACAATCACCTAATGATTGGCAGTAAACTATGTTATTCTCTGTAGCACAAAATTGTCTCTATATTCCAAATTGCACGTTGAAAACAAAACAACCTCTTGAACAGGCTTGTCGTAGTCTTTTGGATTCACAAATTCTGTAATCCCAAACTTCTTGGCTGGAATCAGGAATAAGACGAAATATGAGCAATATATTAGTAGTAATTTTACTCAATAACCAGGGAACCCCATTTAAACGGATGATGCTATGCTACCTTCTTCGAATCTTCTCGGATTCAGATCAACAGCGATGATCCGAGATGCCCCACAAATCCTTGCACCTTCAGCAGCCTAATTCATAGTGTATATAAAAGAATCAAAGTCAATCCACATATACCAAATAGCCTAAAGAAAACCATAGAAAATAAGAATAACTCACAGCAAGGCCAACAGCACCCAGTCCGAAAACTGCAACAGTTTGACCCTTTTTGGGTTTAGCAACATTCACGGTGGCCCCAAAACCTGTACATATTCCGCAGCTAATAGGGCAGACTTTATCGAGCGGGGCGGTGGGATTGATCTTGCAAACCTGGCCAACATGGACCACAGTGTATTGGCTGAAAGTGGAGGTTCCAACGAAGTGGTAGATTGGCTTGCCGTTGATGGAAAATCGGGTCTTGCCGTCTGCAAGCATAACACCTCGGTCGCAGTTGATCCGAAGGAGCTCGCACATGTTTTACTTTCTTCGGACAGGCAGTGGCGACACTCCTTGCACTCTCCGGTGAAGATAGGGAGCACATGATCTCCTGGTTTCACGTCGGTCACACCCTCACCTACACTCTCCACGATCCTAAGCAGTAAGCACAGTCAAGTTCACACGAATCAGATTTATTTCATGTATGATCGGTATATAGAATCTAAACCTTTAATTTAATACATGATTTATAAATATATAATTGATAGATTATATTTTATAAAATGAGAAGAAGGAAAGAAAATATAAAGAAGGGTAAGCTTTCATACCCTGAGGCCTCATGACCAAGTATGCGAGGAAACAGAGGAGTGTAACCCTACAAAATAAACAACAATATGTTAATTTTTTCTTTTAATAATCGAAAATGATTACAAGCTAGTATCAGAATATATATTAATTTATTTACAGTTTATATAGATAGATATATCCAGTTCCACTATGAAGTACAAACAAATATGTTGTTAATTATACGAAAGAGTAATACTAAGATAATAATTATATTTTCATACAATCATATTATATTGTTTAAATCTGTTGTAAATTAATAAAGAGATATGTGTTCCCCAGTAATCATAGAACTAATTCATTAAATGATCAAGTAATGATAGCAATATACTAGAATTATTGTTACTTTGGAGTTTGATTGTTTTTCTTCTGTTGACAATATTTACTGCAAACTGCAATAATATTCATTATATGTAGAATCAAAATGAATAATAAGCAGAAATGGAAGAAATAAGACAGACCTTACACTCCCAGTAGTATATCAGTGTGACATAAGCAGTGAAGAGAATCTTAATACGGACTTCATCCTTTTGGGGTGCCACTTCCACTTCCTCTATCGACAGTGGCTTCCCAGCCTCCCATGCCACCGCAGCTGCATGCAATATTTCCACATTTCATTTTTCTATCTTAAATTTTAAAATTCATTTTAATATCAACGCATCAAGCCACTTTAGTGGTTAAGGAGAGTATTATTCTTCCTAAAAACATCGTTTGAGCAACTATATCTATACGGTATATAAATTGTCAATGACTAAGAAAGATTATGAACATATATTACTTATAATCACCCGATAAATGTTAAATGTAATGATAAGACATTGCATTCTTAAAAAATGTACTTTAATTGAATTTTAAAGATTATATATTAAAAGAGAAAGTAAATCAACATAAATCACAATACGAATATAAATAATAACAATATTAGCTTAATTAAAACTCAATTCATTATAAAGCAAACAAGGAATCAGTTGTAATTGTGTAGGGTCAAGGCATGATGAAGCCGATCATCACCTTTGCAACGAATAACCTGACCAGCAGTGCTCATTGTGTATGAGGCTTTTTCTCTCTAAATATTGATAGAAAATTTTCTTTTTGATTACAAGTGTAGCGAACAAGAAGCTTCAAATGGCTCTTATTTATAGTAAAAATATTGTTCACTCTTGACCCCACAAGAAATAATAATGAATGTACGAGAATGCCCACCTGGCTTCTTCATATTTTAGTGGTCCAAGATATTTCTTCTCCTGTTTTAACCATATTTATCAATATAATTGAATTGATCATTTGTAATAAAGTTCAACTTAACATAATATTTATATGATATCGATCTGAAAATTATCTTTTTATATAAAAATTTAAGGTAAAATATACATAGAGTCTCCAGAATATAGAGTGTTGTTTTGTTGAGTTACTTGATTATTAAATGTTACAAAATGATCATCTAATTATAGGACTTTTTTTAATCTCTGGCTATTAAAAATTATAAAATAGTCATCTAATTATAGATGAGACTGAAATTGAAAGCGTTGTATCGCAATTGAGTCAAGAATTCTCTCTAAAAGATTTGGAGGACTTACACTATTTTCTAGGGCTTGAAGTTCAGCGAACTACTCATTCTCTCATTTTACGACGAAAGAAGTTTATTCTTGAGTTATTAGAACGAACTGGCATATGTGATGCTCATCCAGTTCCAACACCGATGGTCGTTTCTCCGAAACTTAGCAAAGATGGAGGGAGCCCATTACAAGATATTCAATTATATAGGAGCATTGTTGGAGCTCTTCAATATTTAAATCACACGCGACCCAAAATTGCATATAGTGTCAACTGTGTCACTCAATATATGCATGCGCCTTGCACTCAGCACTGGGTGGTCGTGAAACGCATCTTGCGTTACTTGTGTGGGACACTTGATTATGGTTTAGTATTTCGCAAGGCTATGGTTTAGTATTTCGCAAGGCTATGGTTTAATATTTCGCAAGGTTGGATTGGGCTTACACTTAGAAGCTTTGTGTCTTTATTGGAGGTAATCTTATGTCTTGGGGTTCCAAGCATCAACGGTCGGTCTCTCGGTTGACTACTGAGGTTGAATAGCGTATGTTGGCTGATGTTGTGGCCGATGTTGCTTGGGTTCAAGCCTTGTTGACATATATGGGGATTTTGTCCTCAGGCACTCCCGTCATTTGGGGTATACGAGTGCGATAGCAATGACTGCCAATCTTGTTCTGCATTCTCGGGCGAAACATATTGAATTAGACCTTCATTTCATTCGGGAGAAGGTTGTTGTTGATAGTGTTCGTGTCAATTATATTCCTGCTCGATATCAAAGAGCTGATGGATTCACTAAACCTTTGTCTCGAGCTTATTTTTCTCTATTTCGCTACAATCTCAATGTCTATTGTGAAGTTCTAGAGTCCATTGACAATAGGGAGAATTAATATTATGTGAATACAAATAAGTTGTTATTTGGTTGTTAGGGATAGTATGCCAGCAAGGCAAGTCTGGTATAATCGTATGGAATGTTCTAGCAGTTTTTGTAAAAGCCATATATATGTGGCTCTTGGTAAATGAAAAAAATAAGGCATTTGTGTTAATCAAAATTCAATAAATATTCATATGTTCAAACTTATCCTTTTCCGTAAAAAAAAATATGATCGTCTGAGCTGAACGTTAACATATTGATATGATAAAATCGTATTTTAATGATGCCTACTAGCATCGTTGTTTGGCTCGAAGACATAATGTTTCAAGCAATGGCTCAATGGTATAATGTATACGGAGAGTTGATCCATAAAACAATTCAATGATTCTAGGATCAGATTTTATAATATCTCAATCAACAACAAGTTAACGTCCAACTCAGACGGATGTCAAATTTTAACAAAAAATGATGAATTTGGAAAATATGAATTGTCAAGTGACTATTTTTCAACTTTGAATAGTCAATGGACTCAACAGAGTAACACCCTATAGTTGGAGGAATAT